GGGAGCCGAAGAAAAAACCAATAGTGTTTCTGAGAGAGCAGAAGACGGGCTATCTCCCCATGCATTTATCTCGATTTCGAAATTTTTGACGAAAACTGACTTTTTTGAGGGGGAGGGGGGCCTTAATATCACAATAGGATTGTCATATAGATCGTCCATCTAAAGAGTGGCTAGCTTAACAGTTTATTAAAAAGAGGTACAAGAAAAATTAATGGAAGAATATTGAGCAGGGAGGATGAAATAAAGAAGCTTTCAATGGAAACTTCGAAGTATATCAATCAGAAATAACATCAACAATTCTCATAGTGTTTCATCTTGGATTCAAAAGTCATGGAAGGTCGCTCGCAGATATAAGTTCCTAAAATCAAGAGACAGAGCGAGTGCAGACGTGCGTTACCATGTCTGTTCAAAACAAAGCCGATACTTATATTTATCAGATGTTTCATGTTTAGTTTCATCCCGAATTGTTGTTGCAATATAATATCTGGCAAAGAGTGCAGATCTCTGAAATCCGGCACAATGAAAGAAATAATATCTGTTCACGTCTAAATCATGTCTTTTTTTTTAATAGAAAACTGTACATTGTCAAAGACAGCAAAATCATGCTTTCCTTCAGGAATTTTTTCAAAATAAATAATTAGAACCAATTGTCGAGTATCCAATGGTATTGCACCAAGTTTATGTTGAAATAATATGGCTTCAGTTTCATTCTGGCGATCATCTAGACCTTTAAGAAAATAGATGTGCAAAAGGTGACAGTCTTGTTCAGTTATTTTAGTGCTTACCTATCATTATATTTTTACCAGCTTTTACTGCTGTACTAGTGAAAAATGTTATTTTAGCATAGGCATTACCACCGAACAAACCCGAAAAGCTATATTCAGCTTTTCCGGAATCAATTAAAACAGAATAGTCAGTCAATGCTATTGATTGCGCTATAGATATAGGATCCAGAGAGGATAAGTTAGCTATTCCAAAATAACAATTTAATGATGAGCGATAATGTTGAAATGCCTTGATAACATCGACTTTCGCTGACCATGAGGATGGTAATTCAGTATGACAACCAAAGTTTTCACCATTTATCACTAAATTTTTTTCTTGAATCTTGGCAAATGAACCGTTTGGTAGTCGTGCATTGTCAAGCAATCCAGCTTCCTGCAGCTGTTGTTCGGTTATCAACGCTCCATCTAAATCAGCATTTGTAAAATCAGCTCCTTTGGTCCATGCTCGCGTGAAATCAGCATGTCTTAATATTGCACTCTTAAAACTAACTTGAGCTAATGTTGTATTACGAAAATCAGCTCGTTCTAATGAACATCGACTGAAACGTGTTTCTAGCAGAAATGAGTTGGTGAACCTAATATCGTTCATTGCTGAATCTGCAAACCTTGAATGTTGTAGTTGACAATTGATAAATGATGCATTGTTCAAATAAACACCGGGTAGAGATAAATTATTAAAACTTTTTAGTTTTGTTATATAAATATAATTCAAATCGGCCCCTGCTAAATTTAATGTCAAACGATCGTGTCTTTTAGTTTTATCATATTGAAGAAGTTGACTTTCATATAGAAAGAGCAACAAATGGTATTTTCTTTCTGGATCAAGCTTTCGTAGTGACGAAAGAGTTCTCGTGCGAATGTACAATAGTGTTTTGTTATCCGTTGAAACTTCTTTTGTTAACAGTAGTTTTGCTATATCATCAAGACAGCTAGAAAGTATTCGTTCTTTCTGGAGACTATCAGCTTGTTGTTGTTCTTGTTGGCGTTGTCGATCAGCCGAAGATTGTTGTTGTATGGTGATCACTACAGTAAATATACCAATCATCAATGGGACGAGAGCTGATATAAGTAATGTTAACCAATCATGACAATCTCTTGAACCTTTCTGCCTTGTCTGCTGGTGTTGCTGATCTTGAGGCTGAGCATATTTTGTCTTTACTGAAAACATTGGCATATTCTGAAAAGAATAACTAAATATATCAAGTTCCAAAACTTTAGCCAGAGCTTCGCTAGTATTCTTTTAAAAAGACATTTCTGCACATAATACGAAGTACATCTTTTCTGAGAAACAGCGAACGTCATGTGTGTAACTCGACTCTTTTTCATTCTATTGCAATGGAACATTCTTGAGAACATATTTGTGCCTTTGCTATTTCTTATCTCTATTGATGTTTTGGGCAGTGATCGATCTATCGTGTAAAGCACGCGTATTTGCGGACCTCACTCTGCTATATAGTCAGGCCAGCGCTCGAGGCCGAGTGCTTGTAAATATAAATATTTGATTTAGACCGAGTGTATGAATAGTAAGATAGATAGAAAACTCCATCGAATGTCGATAAATGTGTGTCCATGTCATTCCTTGGTAATACCTAATCGGGTAGTATTATTGGTAAGAGGAAGAATGGACTCAGTTGCTTTTTGTAAAACTCAAGAATGAAAGGAGCTAGAGAGTTCCAATTTTCATCATTTAAATGGAACATCTTTTTGCAAGAGATATTAATTCAAAACTAGCAGCAGTAGAAGAGAATTTTAATCCAGTAACACGTTGCCTAAAAGATCTTTAGAAAACGATGGCATTAGCCAAAGCCTTTAAACACTACTAGTTTGCTTTTTTCACTGATAGATAGCTCAAAGTGTGCTATTCAAAATGGAGATTAAGCCAGACCTTGATTTTCAGCGGTTTAGGTGTGGTATCGGATTTTCTGAGAGTCCCTTGGCTGGTATTCTATTTATTAAATGTTGCCCACGGTTATGCGTTTAGACTAGTCCCAGATGTTCAGCTCGATGAATTATATCGGTTGCAGTACAAAGTAGCACTCATGGTTAGCGTTAGCGGGGCACTACATCAAATCAGCAAAGATACTAGCTCTGGAATGGGTTCCGCTAGATAGCTTTTACGTTCACAAACTTACCCTCGTCTACATATACAGGTCACATTTCTTCGTATTTGCACGATCTATTGTCAACGAAAATCCTCCATCACCAAAGTACAAGGAAGCGGGCTGATATAAGAATCCCAGCTTTTTTCACACATCAAAATAAGTCTGAAAGCAGCTGTACACATCAACCATTAAGTTCTGAAACAGGTAACTACAATCTTTTTTGGGAAGTATTAAACCTTTTTTTAGCCTTTCAAGGTATTATCCATAACCCAAAATATAAGACAAGCAGTTATTTTCTGAATAACTCAGAAGTAGTAAAAGATAGAGACTTGCGGTTTTCATTATTCGATAGCCAAGACTTAAAAGTATCTTTTGATAAGTAAAACGTTTTTTGAAATCATTTTTCTATGAGTTCTCTGAAAACTATTTCATTATCCCAAAACCTGACATAGCAATATATTACACCTTCGTCATAGAAAGGTAGCCTCAAGCGTGAAACCGAGTTTTATAAAACTTGAGGTTACCATGCTGTTTTCACCTAGTATTAAAAAATTCACAGCTCACTCAGAAAACATCAGGATGAGTTGGAAACTTCAAGACGTACCGGCTTCAGATTGTTGTAGATCCTACTTATACAACAACGTAGAAGAAAAGATTCTGAAATCATATCGTTTTTTGAAAGGTTTTCAAAAACTTTCGTACAGAAACATGGTTTTGAAATTGTTTTGATCATCTAACCACATTAGAGGGATTCCAGCTCGTAATATGGAATAGATAGTCGATTATAGAGAGTCAGAAAATGACTAATAGCGACCTCTAGGGTTGATTCTGTTGACCGAAAGCTTTCTTTCAACTTGATTGGGTGAAAATGATACGAAATAGGCATAGAACTTTCGGTCTGATATGGAAATGATTTCCTCACAAAGGCTTTTTCGCATATATTCATAAGTGCAAGTTCTATATTGACTATTGTCCATCCAAAAAAAGAATCGTATATGGCTGTTTTTTGAATAACTTTCGATAGGAAAAAGCTAAAGAGCTTCAATTTTCACCATTCGAAAGAGGAGACTTGGGGACATGTTTTCATAACCCAAAATTTTCCCAGAAGAGCTTTCTGAAACAGGTTTTCCAGGGGATCTTTGGAAAATTAGCTCGAGTGTAAAAATTTTCCAATAGGATTGTATTGATTTGTTTTCACAGACTGATAGCCCAGGGTGTCCTTTTCAAATTGAGAGTCAAGTGAGAC